ACATCTCCACACTCAAAAAAAAAAAAAAACTGGTAAACAAAATGAAATTTTTTCCGTATAAAAACATATACATGTACATATCAAGAGGTGTCTCAGTGTGCAAATACATTATCATAGTTGTATACATATAGTCATGTGTTAGCGTTAAAATAGGAATAGTAAAATGATACAAATGACACACTCATATATAAAAACATTAAAAACCTCTGTCCCTCACTTCGTTAATTTTACGTATACTACTTGATGAGGGTTTAGGTTGTTTTGTGAATTTCATTTTTCACTTTTCATTTGTGCTTTTGGAAGTAAAGTATGATGATCCAGATGTTTGATTATGAAGATTTATCCTTCAAAATAGCTTATTACATGGAATCTTAAGTTTTTTGTCTGTTTTTTATTTAATATATATTATATATATATATATATATATATATATATATATATATATATACCAATAATGCATTTGATAAATTGAATAGACATGTTTTGTCTATTTATTTTATGTAAGTTCATTCATATTGTCTGATCAAATTTAATAACGAAATTGAAATCACCATTATTGATACATGTTTAAACCTGAATCTAAGTTTTTCAGTTTTATTGCCATTATCAAAGATGACAATTACTTTTCAATATATCAAAACAATACACGGAAGAAACAATAATGATAGGCCAGACTTTTGTTGCCAATGAAAAATTTCAAAGCAACGACAAACTCGTGTATACGAGACGCGGAACCGAAATTTTTTTCACTGCTCTTTGACGTCATAACGAGAATGAAAATGGAGAATTATTAAGTATGGGAAGCCGTTGGTATAATCTTTGGTTTCTATTTATGAATTATAGGCATTTAAGAATATTTGTTCCAACCCAATTTCATAGTTTAAAACTGCCTAAATATTTTGGTATTTATATATATATATATATATATATATATATATATATATATATATATAAAAAGTGTAAATTTAATTTGGTAAATATATAAATGAAATAGTGTTATTTTTCATTTTTACATACTAACGACAATTTATCAATCGCACCTATATATATATGTGTGTGTTGTATCTATGTGTATGTGTATTGAGGCTAAATCCTTCTTTCATGTCAGTGTTAATTTATCCATAAACATATAATTAAACACACACACACACAGAACACCTGCACCCACATGCACACACACACACACACACATATTCTCATGTTTCAAATTTAAAACATGAAACATGAGAATAATTCAATGTAGGAAAATAAATCATATTTTAAAAAAATTATAATTATAATATAGGCAAATTACATGTTATTGAGCACTTCGGATTATTAATAAGGGTTCTTTCCTATTTTATATATACACAACACACACACATTGACATATATGTTAAGACATTTTATATTTATACATTCAGTATTTTATAGATACAAATATTTAAGTAAATGCTCTGTTTATAATAAACAGTATTAAACAATATTAACCGGCCTGAATGTTCGAGATTTTTTTCATAGAAAATATTCATCCTCCGACAGGAATCGAACCTGTTATCCTATACGGAACAAAATATATAGCCTGACGTGCCTTTAACCGATTTCTGGATAGAGGATCGTTCGGTTAGCAAGGTCGATTTTTTGACTTTAGGCTACAATCATCTATTATAAACATTAGCATTTACTTAAATATTTGTATCTATAAAAAGAATGTATAAACATAAAATGTCTTTAAAAATATTGTCGGATTTATCCATTTATAATATATGTGACGTCATTTGTTTACATTTGGATACGCATTGAGCAGATATGAATGTACCTGAGAGAAGGAATGACAGGTTTGTTTATTTTGTTTATGGTATTGTTTTTAATTATTACATTATTTACGTTGTATACAATAAATATAATTTTTCTTAGTGGCGTTTTACAAGGGGTCAGTTTTTCGTTTTCGATGTTTAAGTTAAAAAGATTTTCATGCCTGCATTTTGTGATGAGAACTGATCTTTTATCTGATAATTTGTTAGTCGATTATATCTATTATCGCCTCTAGATAAAGTTTGCAATTTTTCGAGTTAGTGTTGTCGACTGGTGCTGTTTTCCTAATCTTCCATGTTACTTTTAGGTTTATTTTGGGTTTCGCTTTTAAATTCTCACATATATTTAGATAGTGTTGTCTCTGTTTCCAAGATCGTTCAGTTAATCTTATGTATTTTTTTTATTTCGCCAGTGGCTGCTTTTACAGTGCCTTGATATATTGTATTACTTTGCAGGCATTTGCCGTTTAAGGTTCATTCATGCTTAGCTCTGTAGTCGAAAATGGGTTGATTGGAATGATAAGTAAAAAAAAAATACAGATCTGTTGGTTTATTTTTACATATTGAACTTTCGTCTATCGCGAAGAATTGAAATTCTTAAAAGACTGTGTCTTGAGCGCCTATCGGGGTGGAATAAATACATACACAACGCTAAAGATAATGGGAAAATTCTTGGTTCCTCGTACTGCTCAAGTAAATACCTGAGTCCTCCTGCTATCTTCTTCGATTCCTAGAGCACAATCATGAAGTACTGTTGCCATATATCAACAGGAACTGTGCAGTCTTCCCGTTCCAGGTTCGATAGAGTCCAAAAGCGTCCTTGTGGGTGATGACTTCCATTTCCACAATTACAACTTCCATATTTATTTCATATAAATTTTTTAAAAACATCAATACGAAAGCAATGAATTAAAATGCAACAAAACGACTTTGTTCAGGTTTGGAAGCTTTACAGGATACTGAACAATATAAGGGTAGGCAAATTTTAATATAATCAGCCCCAAGAAAAACAACAGTACTACTGGATAGAACGAATTTATATATATATATATATCCTTATTTAACGAATACAGACAAGGCTGTGGACATTTTGAAGCCAATAATGTTAGATCTAATATTTTTTTTCGGATGAAAATGTCCCAAAATAAATAATGAAGGAGAGTTTGGATTATTAAGAAATATTGCTAGAAAATATTTAAAGCCAATTATTAAATATAAAATATCGACTATATAGCGGCTGAATTTTAATAAAATTCACATTCAATGGACGGCCGACGACTTATTTTGAGTTCTTTGGAGCGACGAGTCACGCTTTTGTATCTTTGGATCGGATGGATAAACCTTTGTCGGACGCTGCCAAACCGAGGAATTCCATCCTAACTACGTCAAAGCGGGAGGCGAGACTGTTATGGTATGGAGTGCGTTCAGTAGCTTTGGTATTGGTCAAATTGTTAAAGTTGATGGAAAACTCAACAGTGTAGGCTAAATGCAGCGAGTTAAAAACATGTTCTGCCATATTTGACTGACCAAATTTTACCTGGAGCTATTTATCAACAAGATAATAGAAAATTTAATTTTTGCAAAAAAATAATGCAATCATTTAATATAGATGTCATTGAGTGGCCTCCTCAGAGTTTGGACTTTTTTAATCCAATTGAAAATTTATGGAATTATATTTTAAAGAGTTCATAAAAAAAAAAAAAACAATTTTTTTTTAATGAAATGTATGATTGTATTAATCAAATATGGCAGAGTATTCCAAATGATTTTTCTGCTCACTTATCAAGCTTGATATTTTAGGCGATATGAATTTGTAATTATTTTTTAAAGGTTACAGCACTAAATATTGATATTTTTTTTTTGCAGATCTTTACTATAGCTTTTTGCTTTAAATATAATAATATACATGCGGTCTTAAACTTATTTTGCCGGCAAATTTGGATAAGTTAAATTAATCCAACATTAAAATTGTCCAAGTTGTAGAAAAATATACAATTTTTACATTATTCGAAAGAGAAATAAATTCTGGATAAAGCGTAAACAATAAAATTAATTTATATCGTTTTCTTAGAAACATATTCTGAAATAAATAAAATTTTATCCATCTTGTCTTAAACTTATTTTTGCCAGTGTAGATAGTTTTCTGATTTTTTTCTTTTTCTGATGTTTTTCCTTAATTTTTTTTGGAAGCTGCTTCATAATAATATATGGGTTCTTTAAAATGACTTCATTAGAAGAATTATCAGATAAGCTACGATTAATTCATTGTGGGGTCTGTTTAATTATTGGTGGATGGTTGGAAAATGTTTGTTATGCAACATTGTTCTTTGGTGGGGGGATTATATGGCTGACATGTACCTTTTCGGAGTTTGAATATGACGTCTGAGAAATTTACTTCTTTTAGGTTTGTTTTTATGTCGATGTAAAATCCTGTATTTTTAAAATTTTGTGATCACATTTCTGTATATATATATATATATATATATATATATATATATATATATAAAAGTGAATATATAAATATATAGAAATGCTTATATATGCAATCGTCAGGCCTGACGATTGCATATAGCATGAAACAGACTGTCGCCTCTAAGTGCTGACTTCTATGTTCACTTTTATATTTACACACGCTCTATCTCTGATATTGAGCACTTTATTCCATAAATATAGCACCCCTTAAGACTATATTTCTTTATATATATATATATTTCATTTTTCATTTCAACTTTTATAAGTAAAGTCTGATGATCCAGAGCCCTTTAAAAGGGTTGTGGTGAAATAACTGATTACATGGAACCTTAAATATGATCTTTTTTTTATTCATTATATATATATATATATATATATATATATATATATATATATATATATATATATATACTGGCTAAAGAGGTGCTATAAGAACAGAAAATATATAGACTGCAACACAAAAAACATAACCATGTGAAAAAAAAAGAAAGCAAACAGTAACACAACATTTTTCTTTTGGGGGGGGTAAGCGATATATATATATATATATATATATATATATATATATATATATGTATGTATGTATGTATGTATGAAGCAAACTCCTTTGTAACTAGACATGTGATCAAATGAATCAGGAAAAATATATTTTATGGGGAAATAAATTATAGTCATGGAACCTTAAAGTTGTCTTTTTTTTAATTTAATTAATATTTGCTCTGTTGTTACATTGAGCTCACTGGATTACATCCTCTCTTGAATTATCCACATGGATTACCAAACCCTTCATTACCTTTCTCTCTCTCTCTCTCTCTCTCTCTCTCTCTCTCTATCTATCTATCTATCTATCTATCTCTGTTCATATCTATCTATATATTAATCACAGTCTTTTCATATCTATGTATCTATGTATGTATATCACAGTCTTTCTTTGATCTATCTATCTATCTCAGTCTGTTCCTATCTATCTATCTATCTATCTATCTATCACAGTCTTTCAATTATCTATCTATATGCCTGTCTTTCTGTCTGTCTGTTTATCACAGTCTTTCAATGATCTAATTATCTATCTATCTCAGTCTGTTCATATCTATCTATCTATCTATCTATCTATCTATCTATCTATCTTTCCTTCTCCACTTCCTTCTTTTCTCTCTTTCCCTCTCTCTACTGATACGTTTCTCCCTTAACCCCCTTTATCCTACCTTACCTTTACTTTAACTCCCTCTGAATCTATACCTTTTTTCATCCTCCCCCCACCTCTCTCTCTCTCTCTCACTCTCTCACTCACTCACTCACTCACTCACTCTCTGTGCGTTCTATCTTCCTAACAGTCAATCGTTTGGCTTTCTAACAACGCTGATGACAACACAAAACAATAGGCAAAAACAATGCCAAACGAGCGACTCTTTGAAAATCTGTAAAATACCCACAATGCCTTGCACATGTCTGCCTGCTTGTCACATCGTGTGCGACATGTCAACGCGTAAATTTTCGCCGTCGTTTCAACAATTTCAGCTATCATTCATTTTACGACAGTGCCAGACCAATTTACGTTAATCCGGCTTCAGCTCACTTCTAATTTGAACTCTGGTGTGCTTTTACTAAAAATAGAATGTATTTGCTCGTTACTCTACGGTTTACAAGGCTGATTGTTTTTTTCGGGTTTTTTGTTTGTTTTTTTGTTTTTTAAACTTGCACAAGTTAACTCTCTAATCTGACAGTTGTGTTAATGTTAGATTTAGTTTTTAAATGAAAAAAAAAATTGTTAGTAAAAGAAAAAATATAGACAAAAATTTAAAATATATAAAGATTGACAATAAAAAGTAAAAAAGGAAAGGTTTTTGAAGTGGAGAGGACAACGAATAAGGGTTAGAAGAACAGCTTTTTTATTTTATTTTTATTTTATTTATTTATTTATTTATTGTTTTACTTATTTTTCACCCAGTACAATGGCCAAAAGCCACGCGAGGTACAGAGTTACTAAAAGTAATGAATAAAGGCAAACAAAGCGTTGTTTGAGAAGCTTTTGTCAATTTGATTAACAATACAAATATGGCGACCGTTTGTCGCCTTATACAGTTATTTACTAAGCATAACTTCGATGTGATACAAGGACAAACAAAATGAGCACCCAGAAAGAACGCACTCACTTTCATGGGCCGTGTCCATTCAGGACGTAAGCGATCATTGCCCTCTGCCTTCTTCTGTGCCTTATAGCTCTTAATAAATTTTGTTTTTTTGTTATCTCACCCAGAGCTTCTTCTGTCATCCACTTGCTCAAGCACATTAAGTATGTCACGCATTGCCTTCCCCTGTCCCTCGATCCGTCCTTTGAGTATCAAATTTTCCAAGCCCTCCTTCCTCATTACGTGTCCCAGAAATCTTAACTACGTCTTCGGGGAGATTGTCCAACATTCGTTGCCGTAAAAGAGGACAGATATCACGTAACAGTTCAGTAATCTTTTCTTTGTTTCTCTTGCTTCAAGTTTCTTCTTCAACTTTGGGAATATTGTCCAACATTCGCTGCCGTAGAGGAAGACTGATATTATATAACAGTTCAGTGCTATTTTCTTTGTTTCTCTTGCTTCAAGTCTCTTATTCATCTGTGGGGAGATTGTCCAGCATTTACTGCCATATAGGAGGACTGATATTACATAACAGTTCAGTACTCTTTTTCTTTGTTTCTCTTCTTTATCTTCAAGTCTCATTTCTTCATCTGTGAGGAGATTGTCCAGCATTTACTGCCATATAGGAGGACTGATATTTTTAACAGTTCAATATTCTTTTATTTATTGGTTTCTTTTTGAAAATTGTCTTCTTCATCTTTGAGGAGATTGTCCAGCATTCACTGCCATATAGGAAGGAAGATATTATACAGTAACAGTTCAATTTATTTTTTTGTTTCTCTTGCTTCAAGTCTCTTCTTCATCTGTGAGGAGATTGTCCAGCATTCACTGAATATAGGAGGACTGATATTACATAAAAGTTCAGTACTCTTTTCTTTGTTTCTCAATTCAAATATCTTCCAAATCTGTGAGGACTTTTGTCCAGCATTCAGTGCCATATTTTAGGACTGATATTACATAACAGTTTTTTTTTCTTTTTTTTGTTTCAATTGCTTCAAATCTTTTCTTCATCTGTGAGGAGATTGTCCAGCATTCACTGCCATATAGGAGGACTGATATTTATAACAGTTCAGTAATGTCTTTCTTTTTTTTGTTTCTCTTGCTTCAAGTCTCTTCTTCATCTTGTGAGGAGATTGTCCAGCATTCACTGCCATATAGGAGGACTGATATTAAATAACAGTTCAGTACTCTTTTCTTTGTTTCAGTTATTCAAGTCTCTTTCTTCATCTTTGAGCAGATTGTCCAGCATTTGCCATATAGAGGACAAAATTTTTAACAGTTCATTACTTTTTTTCTTTGTTTCTATTTGCTTAAGTCTCTCTTCTTCTTCATCTGTGAGGAGATTGTCCAGCATATTTCTGCTAAAGAGGAACCCTGATATTACTTAACAGTTCAATGCATTTTTTTGTTCATAATAAAATTTTTCTTGTTCTTTTATACTCTGCTTAATTTTTGGAATGCATCTTTGGCCATCCCAATGTGTCTTCGGATCTCAGTCGAAATTATTTCTGTCCTCCGTTAGAACATTTCCAGATATTTAAATTTTCGCGCCTGTTTAATTTTGGTATCTCCAAAAAAATTACATTTTTCAGCTCATCTTTTTCTATGATGGCCATGCATTCTGTCAAAAAATATGTAAGCAAGGTTATTCAAAAAATTCCATAAATTTAATAAAGAAATTGTTACGAGACATTTTGTTTTCAACATAATTACTGGATCGAAAAACCGAATTAACTGTTTATCTTTAGTCCTTTCTTCTTGCTTTCTTTCACTGCCTTCTGTTGGAACTTTTGTAGTTTTCTTTTCCGTGTCTACTATCGTCATTGTGTCATCTGCAAATTTAGCTTTAGGAATGTATGTTTGATGAACATAAAATATCTTCGGATCTTTGTCACACTTTCCGTTCTCTGTTGAATATTTCCCAGATATTTAAATTTCTCTACCTGCTATATTTACCGTATCTCGGGCCTGTAATTTTCTTTTTGGGCTCATCTTTTTTCTTCTAAATGATCTCTTGGAGACATGCTTTCCAGCCATTACATCACGTCTCTTTATACCTTTTATCAGGAATTTTTAAAATCTACTCATATGTATACCGATGATAAGTTACATAAGAGGAGATAATCAAAAACGGCCTTTCATTATCAAAAAAAAATGGGATATATTTGGTGGTGAACGTAAGAGGAGAGTTTACGAATTGTAGATCATGATCAAAACATTTTTTAATACATTAAAGCATCTACGCAGGAGTCAATTCCATAAATTGGCGATTTGGGATTGATTGAATTGTCTTCTTCGGCCAAAAAAAAAAAATTTTACTAAAAAAATTTTAAATTTACAATCATTTTAAAAACACAAAACCCAAATGATCTTAGCCACGAACAAAGAAAAATTGAAAATTTTAATTTAAATTCCATGGAAATAACGAATTGAAATTAATTAATTATATAAGACAAAAATGAAATCTACACACACACACATTTCACAAAACACACACATAAAAAATATTTATATATATATATATATATATATATATATATATTATGTCCCAAAGAATAGTACTGTTTCGCTGTATCAACGTTAAATCAGTACAACCACTTTATTACAATTCAAACCTGGAGAGGACCCAAATGATTTGAATTTCTACCATTGAATAATCCATTTCGACAGAATGAGTTGCCAAATCTAGCGTATTGTTTTTCAAATGTAATCAAGGCCAAACAGCTCCATTTTTTTACTGAAAACTTCGCATTTACGCAGGTGACCGTTGTTTTTATATAAGCTTGTCATTCAAAAATGCCCAATTGAAAATAAATTATATATATATATATATATATATATATATATATATATATATATATATATATATATAAATGACAATACTTTCTTTACTAGATTATCTTCCGTTTAGTCCAAAGCAAAAAACGAAAAGGAAAGTCCACATTGTCATTTATATTTTTTTTAACTCTGAGAAATTTTCATATACATTTATATAAAGTTTTTTATTTTTTTAACATTCTTTTTTCAACAATACAACTATTTAAGTAAAATTTCTGTTTTATAACAAAACAATGCATTAAATAAAATTTACCGGCCTGAATGACCGAGAAATTTTAAGAAAAATTCGTATTTGACAGGATTGAACCTGTATTTATACGGAACTGTCATATAGCCTGACTATTTTTTTTTACCGATTGTCTATGCAGATTTAAGCGCTCAGCTAATTGGCCTTTCTTTTCGTTACTGCAATTATTTAACTTCATGAATATATATATATATATATATATATATCAGAAACATTAATATATGTTCTGTTAATATATATATATATATATATATATATATATATATATATATATATATATATATATATATATATAATTCTGAAAAACAAAAAAAAATTTGCTCTCAAATATAAATACTTGTTGCGAAATAAAAGCCTTGTATTTACCTTTTAATAAAGTCAAAAGGCCTTTAAAAATAAAGGCAGAATCTAAAACCATCCATTACCGATTTTTTTTTGGGGGTAATTCGTTTAAAAATTTTTAATATTACATCCAATATAAAGATCTCAAAAGAGATGAAAAAAAACGCAGGAAATAAAATTGATTTTCTTTAATCAGTTCATTTTTGCCTGATGCAGGAAAATTTGATGGCAATACACGTTAAAATATCCCTGAATATGAACGGACACACAAGCGCTGAAACACACACACACACACACACACACACACACAGACGTATTGAAAATTCATATATATATATATATATATTTCTATATATACGCCCCTTGAAAATACATCCATGCTACACTTTAAAAAAATCACTTATATATATATATATATATATATATATAAAATATAAAAAATAAATTTTTTGCTTTGTTAAATATGGATCCATTAAAGGAAATTGTCGGAAAGTCTTAACAGCGATTAATTTAATTTCTATCTATCTTTTTTTTGCTCAATGAAATGACATAGGATAAAATACAGGGACGATGGTCTATAATCTTAAGAAACTGTAAAAACAAAACACAGACAAAACTAAAAACCAATAATAAA